TCTTCCCTCCTCCTCCTCCACCTCCTCCTCCTCCTCCACCACCACCTTCCTCCTCCTCCTCCATCCTCCTCCTCCATCCTCCCCCGTCGCCTCCCGAGGATTGACATTGGCTTGCGCGCTTGTCCTGCGCTCGCAGCTGTCCGCCCACTAAGGCGAAGCCAGGCCAACGATACAATCGGGTGAGGATAAATCGAGAGAGAATCTCTGGGATCCGGCGGCTCTGGAGAATGTCTCGGGCTCCGCGGCCTTCGCAGAGTTCTGGAACGCTCTAGAGCGGATTTATCCGCGTCCTAGCCCCGTCCGACTCCCTGTCCTGCGCTCGCAGCTGCCCGCCCGTTCAGCCCCTGTCTCAAGTCAACCCAGGACCACCGGGAATATGGCGAACGGCAAGGGGGAGGCAGCGGAGAGACACAAAGCCAGGGAGGCAGGGGCACGGGATATCATCTCATCATGCAGTGCGGGCCGCGGGAGAAAAAATAGAGCGTGGCGACGTTATACGCGCCGCCTGGGTCGTAGCTGAAGCTTCCGAGGGGGTGCGATGCGTGCGAAGGCCGTGCCAAGAAGAGCGCGGCGACGCTATGCGGAGTCGCCCGTTGGGGCCGTAGTTGGACCTCCCCATGGCGCACGATTCGATTGAGGGGTGTGCCAGCACCAATGTGGCGACACTTTGCGGGCGCGCCCACTAAGGTCTTAGCTGAAGTCCCCCATGATGCACGACGCGTGTGAGGGGTGTGCCGACATGAACTTGGCGGCGCTACACGGGCGCGCGTGTTGGGGCCGCGGCTGGCACCACCGGAGGGGCCAGACCCGTGTGAGAGGGTGGCTCTTTGTGGGCGTACCCATTGCCACCGGGACAATGATTGAAGCTTCCATTGGGGAACGATCCGCTGGAGGGGTGAGCCGAAGCGGGCATTCGGATAGCAGCAGCAAGCGGCGACTGGCAGCGGTCGCAACAGCAACGGCAGTGCGGCAGCAGCAGACTAAAGGAGGAGTGGGAGTGACACGCGCGGCAATGCGGATAGAAAGCGAAGATCCAACACCTCAATAGGGCTGGCTCCCCAGGACACATCCTCCCCGTAATCCTCGAGGGAGTGCCTTGGCGCATCTTGGCACGACCTTGGGGGGAAGGCGGTCCCCTTGGTGGCAGGCATCGCCGGCGCCTGAGGCGGTCGATCTCCTCCGGCTCGAATCCGGCACACTTGCGCCTGTCCGTCGCGCGCAGCATGCGGCGCCTGGCAGCGACGATCGCACGGGCGCCTCCTTGTTCTCGTCTTCCTCGTTCTGCTGCATCTCTGTCCTCCTACCCATCATCCGCCGCGGCTGTAACATCTGCTAGTAAGCAGGTCGCACCTCACTAGATGCAAAGTAGGTTGAACCGGGGTGAGGTTTTGAGAGACGAAGGTTTTGAGACACTATCGTTCCGATACGCCCAGCCCCACCCGAGTCTCCCCAAGAGTGCTGGCAAGCAAAGTGCGCACGCCATTCAGGGGAAGTCAGTGTGAAGCCTGGTCCCGAATCGGAGGAGGGATTCCTTCGTGCGCGCGGGGCTGGTGCGGACTCTGAGGACAGGCAGGCTCCGATCCCTCCCCCTCGGCACGCCCGCGCTCCTGACCTGCCACGAATCGCTTCAGCATCACAAGAGAGAAACAGACCAGCTAGCGCCGCCGAAACAAATGCGGATGGTGATGATGATGACGACGATGGTGATGAATAGGGAAGATTACGATTCAGATCGTGATGATGAGTACGAAGCTTGACATGATAATGATGTTGTTGGTGATGACGGTGACGAAAAGAAGGTTCTCGACATGATGCTAATGATGTTGCCCATGATGATTATGAGGGTGGTACTGAATCTGAAGCTAAAGACGATGATGATATGTTCAAAACGTCGCTGTGCGCCAGAGTGCGATGCTGCCTGCCGCGGAGCCTCTCGCTAGCTCGCTGTTGAAGGTGCCATGGATGCGGCGGCCAGCGCTGTACATGCGCTGCTGCCTTGGAGTGCAGCGCGCTGGAAATTGCCGCGTAAAAGGCGCTGCTGCCCTGGGCGGAAAATCCACGCAACTACTAGAGCAGACAAATTATCCCACGCAGCAGCGGCCAGCGTTGTACATGAGCTGCTACCTTGGGCAGCAGCTCGCTGGAGACTGTGTGCGTGTGTGTGTGTGTGTGTGTGTGTGTGTGTGTGTGTGTGTGTGTGTGTGTGTGTGTGTGTGTGTGTGCGGTGTGGGGGGGGGGTCCGTGCGTGCGCGCGTGCGTGCGTGCGTGCGTGTGCGTGTGCGTGTGCGCGCGCGTACGCGCGTACGCGCGAGCGTGTGCGTGTGCGTGCCAGTGTGCATGTGCGTTTGCGTGCGCGTGCCGTGCGTGCGAGTGCGTGTGCGTATGCGTGTGTGCGTGCGTGCGCGCGTGCGTGCGTGCGTGCGTGTGTGTGTGTGTGTGTGTGTGTGTGTCTGTCTGTCTGTCTGTCTGTCTGTCTGTCTGTCTGTCTGTCTGTCTGTCTGTCTGTCTGTCTGTCTGTCTGTCTGTCTGTCTGTCTGTCTGTCTGTCTGTCTGTCTGTCTGTCTGTCTGTCTGTCTGTCTGTCTGTGTGCGCGAGTGTGCGTGCGTTTGTGTGTGTGTATGTGTGTGTATGTGTGTGTGTGTCTGTGTGCGTGCGTGCGTGCGTGCGCGTGCGTGTGTGAGTGTGTGTGTGTGTGCGTGTGCGTGTGCGTGTGCGTGTGCGTGTGCGTGTGCGTGTGCGTGTGCGTGCGTGTGTGTGGCGTGTGCGTGTGCGTGTGTGTGTGTGTGTGTGCGTGTGTGTGTGCGTGCGTGCGTGCGTGCGTGCGTGCGTGCGTGCGTGCGTGCGTGCGTGTGTGCGTGCGTGCGTGCGTGCGTGCGTGCGTGCGTGCGTGCGTGTGTGTACGTGTGTGTGTGTGTGTGTGTGTGTGTGTGTGTGCGGATGTACGTGTGCGCGAACGCACGCGCGCGTGCGTGCGCGCGTGTGTGCGTGCGTGCGTGTGTGTGTATATGTGTGTGTGTTGTGTGTGTGTTGTGTTGTGCGTGTTGTGTGTGCGCGCGCGTGTTTTCTGTGGGGTGGGAAACCTGGTGACCGAGACGGTGACCTCGAAGTGGGGTCAGGCGGCGCTGTGCCCCCACTGCCGCGCGGCGCCAAAGGTCTGGAGCACCGTTTGTGGCAGTGCCCGTGGTGGGAGCCCGCCCAGGCCGCCGCCCTGGGACTCGCGAGCGGGCACCGCGAGGAGGTCCGCGCGAGGCCGCCGCCGGAGACATCCCTCACTGGGGTGCTGCCTCGGGACCCGCTGCTGGCGGCGCTCGCGAAGCAGGCCTGGCTGCCACTGCCTCTGCCAATTTCCCTGGCCTGCAGAGCCTGCCAGCCGGCGGCAGGGCGCGCGCCTGGACGGACGGAGCCTGCGCGTGCGCCGCGGCGACCCGCCGCTTGCGAGAGCAGGCCGGGGAGCCCAGCGGGCGCCGGCGGGCGCGACGGGCTTCGTCGAGCACATGTGGGCCGGCAGACGGTGCGCAGGCAGCCCATGAGGGCGGAGCTCACTGCTGCGGTGCGCGCGCTGAGCCTGGCCAGGGAGCGGCCGGTGGACGTCGTCACCGACTCCCGTTGCAGCAGCCGCGGCGTGGCGGCCATCCGCGACGGGGCCAACCCTGCGGAGTGGGCGCGCGCGGATCTGTGGGAACGCGTCGCCCCGCGCTGCCGCAGCGACGCCCTGCGCGCGCGCGGTGGGTGAACGCGCGCCTGGACGCGGCAGCGGCCCGCGAGCGGGGAGTCTCCCCGGAAGGCCACGCCGGCAACGCGGCCGCGGACCGCCTGGCTGGCCACGCCGCGGAGGCCCGCTTGCTGGCTCGTGCGTTGCTCCTGGAGCGCGCGCGGGGGCTGGACACGCTCGCCGTGGAGTTGGTAAACGCAGATGATGCTCACTCGACGCACGTCGTGGGGAACTGGGCGTTTGTTCCTCCCTTGGCTCCCCTCTCTCTCTCTCTGTCTACAGCTGCTGCTGCTACTCATCCTCCTTTCTCCCCGCCCTCCTCGAGGGAGGAGGGAGGAGAAAGAAGGGAGGAGGGAGGAGGGTGTTCCTCCGCCTCCTCCTCTCCTCCTCCTCCTCTTCCTCCTCCTGCTCCTCCTCCTGCTACTCCACAATCACACAGTATGAATACTGGTCTCCTCTCTCTCCTGAGGACGTGCGGAAGATACTCGGCCCCCTCCGCGTACTGTTTTCTAAAAACAAGATTCCCGGGAGTTGGGTGTTCGCTTGGATTTTGTTTCAAAATGTTGCTCACGCTGCAGCGCTGGCCTCATTTCCGCGCTTCCGCTCGTTCCGAATCGTGCTCCCGCTGCAGCGCTGGCCTCATTTCCGCGCTTCCGCTCGTTCCGAATCGTGCTCCCGCTGAAGCGCTGGCCTCTTTTCCGCGCTTCCGCTCGTTCCGAATCGTGCTCCCGCTGCAGCGCTGGCGTCATTACTTCCAGTGCCATGCTACGGCATGCACTGCAATGCTATGTGGTGTTCCGCTGTGCGATGCCATGTCTTCAGCTGCAATGCAAGGATATGCAGTGCTTGCGTACATACGCAGTGCCACGTCATGATATGCCATGCTACTGTTTGATCTTCAACGCCATGCTAAGGCATGTTGTGTTATGTGCCGCTGTGCGTGCCATCATTTGCGTTGCAATGATTTGTGATGCAATTCTTCACTACGCAACGCCACGCCATGCTATGACATACTACGCTCTGCCGTGCTCTTCTACGCCCGGCTATGCCGTGATCTACGATGCATCGCGCACTTTCCCGGGCTTTTTGCCCTGCTCGACATCTGACTGTGCCAATCGAGAGGAGACCTGTGCCACGGGAAGGAATGGGAGGGAGGGGCAGGACGCCAGATGGGACGCGAGCCCACTCGGCTTGCCCTTCTCCCGACTCCCCCTCCTCGTGATGCCGTCGCTGCTGCGGCCGCTCATGCTCCCTCGGCGTCCTCCCACCCTCGGCTCCTCCCACCCCTCCCCGGACGACCCGACCCGACCCTCCCAGACTCTCACACCACGCACGACGGCCCCGACGGCCACGGCGGCCACTGGGGGCCGCGCGGTGCTGCGGGCCACGCGCCGCTGGGCACTCGGCCGGCCGAAAGGTCATATTACAGACAAGGCCGGGCTGTGTTCAGTAACCGCCCAGGGCCGTTTAGGAAACGCCAAATGGTCGGGTTCGGGTGGGTTTTCCTCCCTGGAGGAAAACGGCCCAAAGCGCCGAGCCCAAGAGAGGCGAGTGCGCCAGAGACCGGCGGAAACAGAAACCGATCGGCGTCGACCCCAAGAGAGACAAGAGACGAAGCGCACGGCAAACCGACCGGCATGCGAGGATACCCAGAGCTGAGGTCGGCGGACTGGAGTCAGCCAGACTAGAAGTCGAACGTGCCAGGATCCAGAACGTACGACGCTGTTCCCATGATGATGACGGCAAAGTATGCGCAAGCCGATGCCGTCTAGGAAGCCTGTGAGGAAGCGCTGGACTCGACTGACACTGCAACTCTTGCGAAGTGCACGTGGCCCAGCCTGGCCGCGTAGCGCACAGGCTGCCAGCCGTCCCGGCCCCACGTGTCGGCCTCCGCGCCCCGATCCTCCACGAGGTACCTCACGACCTGCAAGTGGCCCGACTTGGCCGCATGGTGCAGCGGCTTCCAGCCGCCCCGGTCCCGCGCGTCGGCCTCCGCGCCCCGCCCTTCCACGAGGTACTCCACGACCCGCAGGTGGCCTTCCTTTGCCGCGCAATGCACTGGACGCCGGCCTTCCCGGTCCCGCGCGTCGGCCTCCGCGCCCCGCGCCTCCACGAGGTACTCCACGACTTGCAAGTGGCCTTCCTGTGCCGCGCAGTGCACTGGACGCTGGCCGTCCCGGTCCCGCGCGTCGGCCTCCGCGCCCCACTCCTCCGCGAGGTACTTCACGACTTGCAAGTGGCCTTTGCTGGCCGCGAAGAACACGGGTTGCCGACCGTCCCGGTCCCGAGCGTCCGCCTCCACACCCCGCTCTTCCAGGAGGTACTTCGCGACCTGCAAGTGGCCCCACCCGACGGCGTAATGCACGGGCCGCCTGCCGTCGAGGTCCCGCGCGGCGGCCTCTGCGCCCCGCTCTTCTACGAGGTACCTCACGATCCGAACGTGGCCCCCGCAGGCCGCGCAGTGCACGGGCTGCGAGCCGCCCATGTCCCGCGCGTCGGCCTGCGCGCCCCGCTGACCCACGAGGTAGCCCATGACCTGCGAGTGGCCCCCTCCTGCCGCAAAGTGGACTGGCTGCCAGCCGTCCTGGTCCCGAGCGTCCACCTCCGCGCCCCGAGCCTCCACGAGGTACCTCACGACCTGCGCGTGGCCCCACCCCGCCGCGTAGTGCAGCGGCTGCCGGCCGTCTCCGTCCCGCGCATCGGCATCCGCGCCGGGCTCCTGGACGAGGTGCTTCACAACGCGCAGGTGCCCCCCGCTTGCCGCGTAGTGCACCGCCTGCGCGCCGTGCTGGTCCCGCGCATCGGCCTCCGCGCCCCGCCGATCCACGAGGTACTTCACGACCCGCAGGTGCCCCCCGCTGGCCGCGTAGTGCACCGGCCGCCACCCGTCCCGGTCCCGCGCGTCGGGCTCCGCGCCGCGCTCCCCAGACCCCACACGTCATGACTTGTGCTTCACGACGTCGATCCCCCAAAAAAAGGTCCCGACGCCTTGCCCAGGACCAGCCCTTGCATCCTGAGCCGGTCGGTGGACGGGCCCGAGGCCCAACAGGGGGCCCCCAGAGGCCGAACATCGGTGAGCGTCTTCTGATTCGGCGTTTCGACATTGGGCAGAAAGGGAGGGTTTAGGGTTTAGGGTTTAGGGTTTAGGGTTTAGGGTATAGGGTTCCGACCGGATCTCTGCTTAGCGCGACTTTCTGCAACCGTGCGCCCTGTGGGGGAGACCCCACCCGCGCGAAACGGGCTCCAAAGACGGCCTAGATCCCCTCCATGGGGGGTGGGAGGGGCGAGCGCCCGCGCCGATCGGCAAAGCACCGCGTGAAAAAACCGATCACCAGCGGGACATCTCCCATCGTGATCTCTTCATGACTCGAGGGGGGTCTGGGTCCTCCACCAGCCGCCGGACCTCCTGCAGATCCCCCCGCGCCGCCGCGTCGAGGACGTCGTCCGCCAGGGAGCCGCCCGACGGCCGGGCGCCGAGGGCCCCCAGGAGCAGCGCGCGCAGCGGCCATGGCATCGTAGTGGTGGCAGAGGCCACGAGAGCGGGAACCACATGCTCCGGACTGTATAAGACGAGGCCATAACCTCCTCCACCTCCTCCCCCTCCTCCTCCTCCTCCTCCTCCTCCTCCTCCTCCTCCTCCTCCTCCTCCTCCTCCTACTGGCGACTCAGCTTCTTTGAGCCGGGCGCTTTCGCTCAATCTCGGGCCCCGGAGCCCTCACAGATCGATCTGGCTCGAAAAATGACGCAGAAAGATGAGGTCTAGGGGTCAGGTCGCGATTTTTGCGATGTTGCATTTTTTGTTGCAACGTCGGATCTCAGGGCAGGAACAATGAAAGGCGACACCAACACCAACAGGGCGAGGAGATGCGAGAAGCAAAGGGGGGTCTCCCTGGTGATGTGGTCCCCCCCTCTCGCTGAAGACATTCCCAGCCTTAGCTCGGGGAGGCATCGTGGACCTCCTCGCTGGAGGTAGCCGGAGATCTGGTGGTTCTTGAGGATGTTTCGGGCGCCGCGACCTTCTCAAAGCGTTTCGGAACGCTCTGCAAGCATTCTGGCACGCTCCTTGTCCTAGCCCCGTCCGACTGTAGCAGGAACCCCAGACGCCCTCGAGTCATGAGAAAATTACGGCGGGAGGCTTCTCGCTATTTTCGGCCTCTGGGGGCCCCTTAAGTAACAGGCCGAGGGAGTCAAAACACGGCTCAGGCTGCAGAACCAGTCATGGGGAGTGCGTCGAGACCTGGGAGGGTCGACGTCACGGAAAAATCATGACGTCGGGGGCCTGGGACCGCTGCGACGGCTATTTTTGGGCGGTGGTGGGGGGGAATGGCCTCCTGGCTCGCGTCGCAGGATCTGGGGTCTGG